GTGTCTGAAATGATACATTTTCCCATCTTGGCACTTAGGTTAGCGCGAACACCAAAAAGGGCACGACCCAGTATTGAACAGTTGTTTCTATGGCTCGGATTAAAATCAATCTAAGAGACCAGTTTAGCAAACAGACCCAGAGAGAGGGAGCACTGCACTTCACACAGGCTTATTTTCCTTCTCTTTCACTGCCAATTCAAATCCACGTTTCTTCAATTTGTCCATGGGTGTCCTGACACAGCGGAGCTTCACTCGCAGCCACCTTCTCTCAAAAGAGCCCCCCCAACACAAACAGCTGCCGGCTGCGAGCCCGCCTGAGGGGAATGTGGAATTCAGCTCAGCACTTCACACCAGAGGAGAGCAAACAGAGGAGGAGTGCAGAAGCGCTCCGACTCACCGCGAAGCAAACACACCGGCAAAGTGTCAAAGTCTCAGAGAGGAGAGTGACCTCGCTGACCGGTGCCGAGATGGTCACCGGGGAGCCGGAGGCATTTTTTCACCTCTTTGTCCCCTTCAATTCCCTCCCTCCCCCCTCCGTCTCTGAAAGGATGTTATGTTGTAAATAACACTGCAGCGTTCATTCACTGGAGGCCCCATTGTGTGTTGTGAATGGGCGGCATTATGAGGGGGAGACATAAATATAAGACGAGGAAGAATGGCTGCTGCACACTTTTCCTGCGACTGTCCTGGCTTCTGTTCGCCGCTCACTGCAGCTTTTACATGTACAGACTCCGAGGCAGTTAACTGCCTGCTGAGAGTCTAAACACCTGCAGAAAGCCACCTTTATTTAGACAAAAATAAAGATAACCTTTAAGCTCTGCTGGAGCATTTTCCCACAACATGAACAGCTGCTCGTGCTTTACTCTGTTTTTGTTTTGAGAGTGAGGCAGCTTCACTCTTTACATGCACATTATGACAGCAGCCTTTATTCAGCTCACTTTTTATCTACTGGATCATGATTTTTAGGGTGGTCCTCTCTCAGAAGACAGACCAGACAGGCACTTCTGTTTTTGAGCTCAGTGATCTTATGTGGAGATG